GAGTATGGGTCACCATACTTGGCCACATGTCACGTCACTTTTCACTTTTTCACTTTTCACTTTTCAATATTACAGCGAGAATAAAAGTTACGCCTTCTTTTTTTGCGTGAACATTTGGGCGGTGTTATGCAAATCTTCCCACATAGTGACGTAGATATGTGGGGGCGTGTTAGAACGAGCCGTTTTAGGTAGGCGTGGTTAACTCTTAACTTTTATAAAGAATATCTCTTTGGATTTGAGACTTTAGTCTTTGCAACTTTACAGATCTTCTTTATGCACCAAGAGCTTGTAACACTCCAAAGAGAAAGAAAAATTGAAATCGCATCATATGACCCCTTTAAGACAACAATTCTCGAGGGTGCATGAATGAGAAATCTCATAAAGGTGTTTGTGTATTTTAGGTTGCTGTTGTATATTATTATGATTATTTTTTGTAGTTCATCAGTTCAATATTGTGGGATTTGTCTTATTAAAGACATCTATAATATAAAAGACAGTTATATAGTAAATTATTAAATTATATGTAATTTTATATGAAATATGACTATTTAATACATAATAAAATACGCCATTGAGTTGGGGATACTCTCTGGACAGCTCAAACTGGATCATTCAGTCGCATTATGAGAGAGTGTCTTATGTGTCTGGCTCGTCTCTGCTCACCACAGCCTCAGGTGACGCCACACGCCTGCCAACACACTATCCCATAATGCATGAAAAAATCATCCAAGCCAAGAGAAATGTTGATTATTCATTTATTCAATATCATATAAAATGTATTAAATCATAAAATATAAATAAAATATTCATTTAAAAGAAAATTAAATGAATAGTAATATTTAAAAATGTATTTATTTTATGCATGGCATAGCAACATTGAAATCAATCGTAAATCGAGTCCAGTGTTGTTATTGCTAACTCAAATTTAAACCATTAAAAACATTTTTGTTAACTGAAATAAAGCTGAAAAAACTAAAATCTAAATATTAGATGAAAAACGTAAAAAAAACTAAACAAAAATGAAAAATGTTGTCTTGGCAACTAACTGAAATAAAACAAGTTTATGTTAAAGAACCAAAATGACTAAAACTAAAAAAAAAATAAAATTAAAGCTATATAGAAATATAAAAAAAGCTAAAACTAATAAAAGTGATAAAAGCACATT